CTAATTTCTGACTTATCAAGAAATCCACCCGAGACCTAGTTTAACAGCAATATTTGCTTCAAGGGATAGAATAGCATCGAAAAGAGTACCTTGAGCAATCGTAGAATATATTAAAATGAAATATAATCATAATCCATGACATTTGTGTGAATATATCTGACATTGCATATTGCACCAAAATAGTAGCGAAGAGAATGGTAGTACTCACTTTACAACTATTTTTATGAGATTAAGCAAATGTTTTTGAATAACCCATCCGTACAACTCGAGGGATGGGAAATTCCGAAGTTATTTTAGTCTTTATCTTTACTTTAATTGATATAAGTGAGGGCTGAAAAGCATACAGTAAGCCCTCCCATATCTAACTACGCCTATTAAATGGAGCACATGTTTTTTGAATTCATCTGAACATACCAACTTGACAAGTTCAGAAAATCCGAAGTTATTGCAGTTTGAAGCCTTACCTCCATTTATATGGACGAGGGGGCGGGGTATAGTTATCCCTCCCTCATCTCTTAATATGCCTCTGAAATTGAAAAATTGTTTTTAAATAATTCGTCTGAACATACCAAATTGATAAGATACGAAACTCCGAAGTTATTTGAATGACCCCCTATCCCCCTCCGACTACGCATATAAGATAGATCTATTGTTTTCAAATATTTCATCTGAACATACCAAAACGATAAAATAATTAATTTCGAATTTGGAGTCTGACTTTCATTAGTACACCGGCAGTGTTGGCAGAAAAAGGGATTTTTGGCATTTAATTCGAAATATTGATCTTTGAACGGCTATTACTTTTTTTTAGGGGCATTCTACCACAATACATTTTCAGCAAAGTTGTTATACACTTCCTGGACTATACTTTAACGTTGGTTTGTGCAAAATTGTGGTCCCTAGTAATAAAGATGCAAAAAAGTAGGTTTTCCCCTACTAATTTCCATACAAATTTCAAATGCAATGTGGAAAGCCGGGTTACAACCAATCGTCCCCAAATTTTGCACAGTCGTTTGGGACCCCCAATGGAACCAAAAAAACATTGTTTTGAAAAAATGATCATGATGACCCATCCTACTGTGCATTCAAAATAATAAATTATGTGTGTGGTGCTTTTTTTTTTCATTGTGGCTTAGTATCGTGATATAATCTGTTCAGTGTTTGTATTCGTTTTATTATTGGTATCAGATTGAAGTTGCCTATTTCTGTTGTTGTGTGTATTGTAATGTTTTAGTGTGTTAGCCTGCATATTTATTACTAATAGCGAATTTGTTTATTATTCAGTTCCAACCTGGATCGGATATTAAGATCGGCTTTGCTTGCTTTCTAACAAACGTAGATTTGATCGTTTGTTTTTAAAACCTACCTCAGGTTGAGGTTCGCACTGACAAAAAGTTCGGTTTCACACTAGGTTGGAAAGGCTCTATATCTGTCCTGTGGTTAACTGTATTAGTATTGGTAGATTAGTCGTGTCCGTTGGATAGAATAAAAAGTATTTGGTCAACCTACCAGACGAAATTGATATGGCATACTAATCTGTTGACAACGTTTGGCCTGGGTTGCGCACTATCACCGTATGGATAACCTACTTCCTCCTCCTTGGGGAACTGGATGTGTGGATTGTAAGCTTTGAAGGTCGTCCACAAATTTTCGCAGATCAGGTACTTCAAACGGCAGCTGACAGTCTATGTTGCTCAACAAGGCGTTCATCACTATGTCCGAGAGAATAGGCGACAGAAGACTGCCTATCGCTGTTCCGAACTACTGTTCATATAATTTGTCTCGAAAACGAAAGAAGCTGTTCTTTAGACAGAATTCTATGGACAGACACAAACTGATGTTTGTTGTGTCTCTGACCGTGTCGCAGCCCTTTATCATATCGTTAGAGACCAACAATTGTGGGATATTAGTGAATAAGGAGACCACATCGATAGAAACTAGTACGTATGCCTCGGGTAGCGTTATGTTACGGATGTAGTTAGCAAACTCAAAGCTGTCCTCGATGTTGTACTCACTGTGAGTGGCTCTCTGGAGGATGTACGCCAGAAACTTTGACAGTTGTTATGTAGGTGCTGTAATGTTGGGCACTACGGGTCGCAGTGGCAAATCCGACTTGTGTGCCTTCGGTTGGCCGTATATCCTTGGACACACTGCGGACACACTGTGGATTACAGTAAGTACTTGGTGCGCGCATCTTTCAGTTTTAGGTTGTATAGACGTGCCACCGTGTGTTTGTGGGTCGTTGGTCGTACGGCCAGCATCTTCCGGTCATCTTTCATTCTTTCTTTTTTTTTTTTTTTGTTCGGGGCATAAAACTACTGCGACCAGTAATTTGATCTATTGTAGTATATCCCGTGTCCTCAGTTTAGTGCATGTCGTATTCCTCCATCACTATTGATAAATGATGAAGTATTCGGTTTTGATACAGTTGTCATTCTTGCCTTCATCGCAAGGAATCGATTCTAATTTTGAAGGTCCCGCTATTTATACCCGCTAAAAACACCCTCCAAAGGCGCACCCCGTTGTTAGTCAAAATTGGATTCCTTAGCACCAAAAACTTGTAATGATACAGATAATGACCATGCATCAGAACCCTAGTCTTAACCACTTAAAACTAGAGAACAGCGAATAAAAGATTAGGGATCATGTAGATGAAAAATAACTACCTAACACATTTTTTTCTTGTTTCAAGATTATGCTCGGTGGACAAAGCCGAGTCTCTATTAACAAGACATAAAAGTAAAAGGACTAAGATGTGTTCCTTTGATTACAAAAACTCATTTTTTCCTTGCTTCAAGATCATCCTCGGTCCAGGCAACCCGAGGACTTATCACAATCAACAAGGATTAAAAAATAACATGGACTAAGATGTGTTCCTTTGATTACTGAAAAATACTGTTCCACTAGTTTGAAGTAATCAAAACTAGGAATTGGTAGTAGATCTTACATCTCGTAACGTACCACGAGAAGTTGATCTACCCACGTTACGGGGCATTTTCCGGTCATAGTCTTGTTGGTACATTATAACCACAGACAAACAGACATAACACTCGCAAGATGTCCATCGAACAAGCATTTATCGGTCAATTTAAAAGTATCATAGTTGGTAGTACCCCCACCTGTGGCGCGCAAAGTCAATTCCCTTGCGTTTGACATTTCCACACTACCGCCATCTATTCAGCGTACTACCCACCACAGTGTACTCAACAGATGGCGGATATGTTTTAACGACGATGTTTTACAGAGAGAAATATTCAATGTATTATGTCTGTTTGTCTGTGTTATAACCATCCTTCTTCCTTTATCCGACTCGAGTATGCAAACATCTTTGTTCTCGGAAAGGAACGTCCTCGTAGCGGCCGTCGCATGTTGACAGAACGTTGTGAGTGAATCTTTACGGTCATTTGCATACCGCGTTAGGTATTTCTGGATGTATGTTGCTACCTGACTCCTGCTTCTGTCCTGTGTTGCTTTATTCGTTGATGGTACACAAGTATCTGGACATCAATGTCCCTACGTTGCATTCATTCACGTTGGTGTTAACCTGATATGGACGGACCTATCCAGTAGGCGTTGATACTTGGCATTCGTCCTTGCTTCTTGTGACACCGTACGACCATCGTAGGACTGGTTTTGGGGTCTCTATGAACCTATCCACGATGTTGGAAGCAACCCTACTGAGTAGTTTCCTGCTTGAAACATTTGATTTTGTGGTACGTGTGGCTAAGTTCAACGTTTAATAATACTTTTTTGTGCATTTTTCTGTGATTCTGTGCATTTTGCTCATGTGCTGGTTTTGCTCGTTTAGTAGCGGGGAAACACACTTCATAGAGTTGATTTTTTTTTTACCTTTTTTTTACTTCCAAACTACAGGTATGGTCCCATGCTATTGAACATTTTAGGAATGGGTCAACCGGCTCCGGACATATGATCGAAATACGTATGAAAAATTGCTTAGTAAAGTCTTTTAACCATTAAAATGCAATGGAATCTGAGAGGGTGCTGACATTGACTTATCAACGCACAATGATACGGGGACAAATGGGGACATCTATGGGTAAGTACAGTAGCTACTTCATGTTAAGGGTAGAGGCAGTAGTAGTCGCCTGCACGAGCAATGGCTAACCCACATCTTAGTGGTCATTTTTTTCAGTTACTACATAAACACTAAAATATAAACATAATTCAAAACGCAGTAAAGTCACGATAGAATGTGCCAAATGGAATGAAAGAAGCCAACAATCAACTTTGCCGACGACACTATGCAGTTATAATATTAACCACTTTTTATAGTTTTCCATAGCAGGATCCTCGCAAGATTCAAGGCAATTTTGTTTTCATAGCAGGTCGGTCTAAAGGCCCCTAATTTCAGCAATCGACAAAATTTTCAATAGCAGCTAAAAATATCCATTAGTACCGTCCCAAATTAGATAAAATTGATAAATAGCTGATTTTTAGTGATGGGCCCAATCTTACATCCATAGACCAACATTAAAGACATTTTCCTTCGTATTAGCGGTGTAGTGATTGATATTTCAACATCATCTGTTTGTAAGCAAATATAAACTCGAAGTCTACCCAAATACGTTATTGCGCCTTTTTGGTTATATACAGCTGAACAACCGCTATGTCCGTGTTTGTTACTTGGGTACTGGCTGAATAATTTTGGAATACGGTTTTGCAGGTAAAACAAAAACGACAGCAAAGTTAATGACGCATTCAATTCAAACATAACATGTCATACGTTTATCATTAATTTGTCAGATTGTGGCTATTTATTCCGAATTTCCCAATAGAATATTAACATAATTTGAACAATGACTCAACCATGCTTCACGTTTGCTTAATTGATTGAATTGTTTTTAATCTATCACCTCTTTTGTATTGTTATCTGCTTCCGGTTTGTTATCGCGTTAATTAAAACGATACTGCAGTGCTTCCGGCAAATCAGCGATAAAAACAAACATCAATCAACTATCAACATCAATTAACACTCTTACCTAGCCACACCGAGTTGTTATGACTTTCGCAATGTTCGAGCTCCGGCCGTATTTTCACGTCATCATTGCTAGAGATGGGATCCTCCAGGGGAAATGTTTCCAAGCGCCGCTGCAGAGGGTCCTGAATTTGCCACGTAAGCAGTATTACCAGGTCCACTGTCAGTAAGCCCGTAACCATGGTGTAGAGTTTCCACGGTTCCACTTTTTTCTACATAATCAATACGAATAAAATTCATCAAAATGTTTGTTAGTGTAAAACATCAATATTGGCCTCATGTTTTCGTTATAGGATTCTATCATTCCCTTTTCAAATCAATGCATATCACTTGAATATATGTTAGCGTGCGTTAAATCCCTAAACATATGTTGAAGCACATTCCCGCGGTACTTTGTCGTATCCTATTTCCGAGGTATGCTTTAGAAAGCAACTTTATAGATGTACTGCTTTGCTTACTTTTCAAACCAAAGTCCTTTTAACCTTTGCGTGCCTAACGTCTGAATTTGCATAGATTTCAAAATTCAATTAGCTCTTAAAACATAATTTCCCAATCTTTTTCTTCACAACAAATAGCATTTTATCGGGAATCTATTGAAATTTTTGAATCCATCTGAAAATATTTGGATCAATATATGGTTCTGGAATTATTCCGGTTCCCGTTGGGGTCACTTTTGGTCGGCATTCGGCTTTACTGTTCTGTAATAAGTATACACACGATGAACATCATGTTTTTTCTTTCAAATGATGTAATTGGACCAATGGCAGCTATACCGACGGTCCACGATCACATTGGGCATCCCGGAAATGTTCCGGTGCCCCGGGGAAGTGGCCAATTCTCAACAAGAACCAAAACCCATCGTGTGACATATCAAAATTCATGATTTTACAAATCTTGGCCAGTAATGGTCTTATTGAGTGTCCACGGTCACACTAGCCCTCCCAGACATGTTCCGGTGCCCCGGGGAAGTGGCCAATTCTCAACAAGAACCAAAACCCATCGTGTGACATATCAAAATTCATGATTTTACAAATCTTGGCCGGTAATGGCCTTAATGAAACTCGACGGTCACACCAGCCCTCCCGGGCATGTTCCCCGGTTAAGTGGCTGATTCTCCACAAGAACCAAAACACGTTATGCGACATATCAAACTTTATGATTCTGCTGAACTCGGCCAGTAATGGTCTTTTTGAGAGCCCACGATCCCATTGGCCCTCTCTGGCATGTCCCGGTGTCCCTGGGTATATTTTCTTTTATTATAAGAAACAGCAATTAACTTGCATACTTATTTTCGCTTTCATGGAATTTGACAGAGTTGATTTATTTCTCTTCTTAGAAGTTGATGGTTCAGAATTTTTCTCAATGTCGTCTATCGATTCTCGATCCATAGATAGAAGCAACACAGTTTTACCCTTACGCTCGGTCCAAGATGTGAGCATAATTTCTTCACTGTTACCATGTAGTACAGTGCCAGGCTCTATTTTTTTTCTTATCGATGAACTCTGGTGGGATTTCTTTTTTATTGCATCTTAGAGTACCCAAGGACACAAGACCTTTGTCGTGCAAACCTTTAGCTAGAGCCAAGGATGCAAATACTCATTTTAGCTAGAACAATGTTTTTCTTAATTATGAAATAATTCACTTTATGAGAGTCACAATCAGCGATTTTTCACACACTCACTCATTCACTCACTCACTCACTCACTCACTCACTCACTCACTCAGCGATCAGAAAATCGCTGATTGTGACTAATAGAAAGCAACATTTACAGGTTTTATGTTTCAAATGCATATGGTGTAACCTCTTTTGGTAAGTTACAAGTAAAACATGTCATCATACCATCTTTTGGTTTTATTATTAAAAAAAAACATTATTTTATAGTTGAAGATGCTAATTTCAAATAACAGACTGTTGTGGTAATTTTTATACGATAGATGGAGTAGATGAAAGCATAGAGTTGATAGTTCCGTTAGAGTACGGCAGTGTGAAGATTGTATATAGATATTATTATTATTATTATTGCGTCCAGAGTTGTAGAATGGTTTCATCAGTTGTGTTACAACACGCTGTCCTTGATTCTTCTCGGGTTTATCGTTGATTTTTCCTAATAAATAATAATAATTTGCCTTGTCATTAGAGAAGATGTCGGCTTCGGCATGTCCTTAGCCTATAATTGTCAGGGGTTCAAAAAAGTCGTAGAGTGTTAAGTTTCCCAAAAGGATGCTCTGGAGCATGACGCACCTTCATGCACTCCCTGACGATAATAGGTTAAGAAGTACCGAAGGTGTTTTGCCTCTACAATAAAAAATAAAATTCCCGTAATCTGAAAAATTTAACAAGACTTACGATCGTAGTACGAAAGCAGCAAGATAAGTATTATCTGAATACAAAACAAAAAAAAATGTCAATTCACAATTGTATTGTAATCAGGAATCGTATGTGCGCTTTAAATCTCCTGCACAGGTTTTTTTTTGAGAGCAGGATACAAGAGAAAGCATGCTACAATTTTGAAAGATGTGCGATCTATGAAAGAGCGCACAAAATAAGAACAAAATAAGCTCATTGCAATAAAAAGTAGTTCCACAATCAATGTAAAAATGAGCAACATTTTGGGTCTTATTTTCGTACCATGGAACAATATTGTGCTTCACTGAAACTTTAAAAATTGTTATATTTTGGAAAATGAGATAATTGTGCATGAGCGTTTATTTTTAATTAGCAAAAGCTCATAGTATTAGCATATTGCACATGTATGTGCTTTGTGCAGTTCAATATCCCTGATTGTAATAATCACGTAATCAGAGATTAAAATAAAAGGTTAAGTCATGAAGAAGTGAACATTTTAAATTTTAGTATTACACAATGTTGTCAATGTTGTTATAAAATGATTAAATTAAATAATTAATTCACAAGAAGATCATATTATTAATCTACATAAATATCAAAATTGGTAAGAACAAAAGATTGATCATCAACTGCAGCCCAAACTTTAATGCCGTATCTACATGGTTTTCCTTTCATGTAGACTCTAAAGGCACATCTACCGCGGAAAGGAATCATTCGCTCATCTACAGTCAAATCCATAGAAGGAATGTAAGAGCTACGCATATTTTCTCGGATTTTTTTCAGTTATTGGGAAATCACCAAGGAACTTAATTTTAGACAACAACTTCCTGTTTCGACTCATGATGGCAGAATAAAATACGCGTGCATAGCTCCCGAGCATTAATTTTGGAATCATGATTTTTCCCAGCACCAATCAAGATTCCAATAAACGTATGCATTGAATCTATATTTACAGGCTTGAATAAAGTGTCATGGCCACCTTCCGCATTCGTGTATTTTACAATAGTTTCAATAATACTGTGGTCCATGAACACTTCAAACGCATCTTTAGGCGTGTTAATTTTCTCTATATCAACAGTGAATTTTCCATTACTGACGTGATTATGCCGCACAACTGAACTGATATGTCGCACGATGGGTTTTGGTTCTTGTTGAGAATTGGCCACTTCCCCGGGGGCACCGGAACATTTCCGGGAGGGCTATGTTAACTATGGACTCTCCATAAAGTCATTACTGGTCAAGATTTGTCAAATGAAAAAGTTTGATATGTCGCACGATGCGTTTTGGTTCTTGTTGAGAATTGGCAACTTCCCCGGGGGCACCAGAACATGTCTGGGAGGTCTAGTGTGACCATGGACTCTCAATAAGACCATTACCGGCCAAGATTTGTAAAATCATGAAGTTTGATATGTCGCACGATGGGTTTTGGTTCTTGTTGAGAATTGGCCACTTCCCCGGGGCACCGGAACATTTCCGGGATGCCCAATGTGATCGTGGACCGTCGGTATAGCTGCCATTGGTCCAATTACATCATTTGAGAGAAAAAACATGATGCTCATCGTGTGTATACTTATTACAGAACAGTAAAGTCGAATGCCGACCAAAAGTGACCCCAACGGGAACCGGAATAACTCCAGAACCATGTATTGATCCAAATATGTCCAGATGGAATCCAAAACTTCAATAGATTTCCGATAAAATGCAATTTGTTGTGAAGAAAAAGATTGAGAAATTATGTTTTTAGAGCTAATTGAATTTTGAAATCTATGCAAATTCAGACATTAGGCACGCAAATGTTAAAACAAATAATTCACTGGGCCACACGATTCCGTGATGCCTTTGAAAAGATAAAGTATAATCGGGACATTATAGGAACATAGAGCCAATATGTAAACCGTTATCCTGCATGGGAAATAATCAGAGGGGTTTGAAATTTATCTTACTTTTGGATCGGTTTTTGTTTTCGTTGTAAATCTGTGGACACGCCACACTTTGCTGAACATTGCTCCGTAAGCCAACGTGAAGCCCAGTGACAGAATCCAGGTTCTCGCCTGACAAATCTGTGAAGACAACAAAATAAAAATGGCATTGAAATTAAGTGTGAACATTTAATGTTGAGTAAATTTGTAGCTTGGTTTTCTTTAATTGTAAATTATAAAATGGGATTAATGGGATTATAGGGTATCTTTGCCTATTATTGCCAGATGACAAGTGATTTCGTAAGGTGTTATGTTTTTGCAAAACGATGTTCTGGAATATGATAACACTCGACCTCTCGACGATAATAGGTAAAGAAGTACCGAATCCGTAAATTCCCCTACATAGTAAGCATTTTCGAAAGTCGTTTATTCGGTTTTTATATTTTCGTAAAGTACATAGTTTTGAGTTATCAGAGAGTGTATGCCTCAGAACATCTCGGCGGCGCCGACAGGGATTGAACCCAGGCCTGCTGGGTTGAGAGGTAATCATGGATATACCCCTTCCTCCTGTTCAATATTGAAAGTACCGTCTTCTGATTCTTTTGATGACTGCCTGTTGCGTTATCATAAAATGCAACCTTCAATCTTCTCTGCTACAGAGACCTAAATTAAAACTAATGATGGAGCTACTGAAAAAAAATTAACGTATTTTTTGGCAATTGTTTTTTCTCGCAACATGCATGGTGTCTTTTTGAACTATACTGGGGTGCTACTCCAATATACATAACGGCTTGTTTAATACCCCACATTTAAATTTTAATAATTTATTACATTCCAGGAAAAATACTTGAACCAACATTAAATCATAACCGGAGCATTGAAATACTTGAAAAATTTAAGATATAGTCAAAAATGCATGACATACATCAAATTTTGCGTAGTTCTACGTCATACTGCGGTCGTGTCTAGGAAACAACCCTTTAATTGTTTTTCGACTAAGAATCCTGTTATACCAGATTTTACTTCAAATGACAACTACAAAATGAGGCTAATTTGGAGATGCCGATAATACAACAGCTTGTATTTCAAATGGAAAGTTTACTGAAGAAAAAAGGGCATCCAATAATGAGACATTCGAAGCGTTGTAAAAACGCTTTCAAACAGTGCTGGACAATTCTGTTGATTGGAATGGATAGAAACGCAAGCAGCAAATAAATGTAATCCAACAAACACGTCATATGTGTGCGTGACACTGTGAAAATGTTAATTGAAGCGCGGACGCTGCTTAGAATGACGAGAAACAATGTTAATTGATGATGAGCTCAGGAAATACTTTCCTAACGGCGCCGGTGGTGTAGTGGTAAGCGTGATAGCCTCTCACCCCAGCAGGCCTGGGTTCAATCCCAGCCGGCGCCGCCGGGATGTTCTGAGGCATAACATCTCTGATCACGCCTTCCTTCGGATGGGAAGTAAAGCCCTTGGTCCCCGGTTCATGAGGTCGATAGGTAGGGTCCAGGTGTGGGAGCTGCCTTCCTGGCACGTCGGTAGCATTGGTGCTCAGCACGGAAAACAAGATCGACGGAAAAAACAAACCAAAGGAAAAAAAAAATAAAAAATCAGGAAATACTTTGTGAATCACATTCAACGGTTTCTTGATGAATTCCTTCTTCGAAAACGTTATCAATCTCGTGAAACCGTAAAATAAAAAAAGATAATGTGCTTAGCTGTGTAATAATGGGTAAATGATTGTCAGAATAATTTTCTCGAGTCCGAGGGGATATCAGAAAATTGAAATGTGTCCGAGGCGAGCGGTGAAGCTATTTCACCTCGGGCTGAAATTGCACCAGATTGAAACCGTTTATTCGAGCGGAAAATTAATTGAACAACACCTACGCAAAATGCAAATGCACAATGCCTATCGCACTCTGGAGCATTCATCGCCACAAACACGACCAACAAACGGTTTCGGTTGAGTAGCTCTTCATTTAACATACTGACACATTAAGGTGTCAGTCGAGTTTGAGAACGACGGCTACCCAAATTTGGCCACCTATGGTACAGTGTCGTATAATCTCGTGTGTGCTGTATTTGTGAATGACGGCTGATGTGGTTTATCTGCTCTGAGCGATGATTAAATCAGTGCAGATTTAATTGAAATTTATTTTCTTCAATAATGATATATTTTGGGCAGTGAATTTGGTTTTCTACTTTGTGTGCTGAGATTTTTTATTGTCATTGACAGACTTTTGCGCGATATTGACAAAATTGTTTTTCACATAGTCACTGACACTTGATCCTCAAAAAGCCTACGTCAAAATCTTATTCATTTTTTCTTCAATGATAAAGATTCACCTGGTAGTAAAAAGTGTAATTTCGTGCATTATGTGTCACATTTTTGTTAACCTAGCAGTTCAGGATGTAAGTGCTTGCTAACTTTAACGGCTCCATGTAATTGTGTTGCTCGAGTCATTTAATTTAGCGGCGCCCCTCAAATGAGTGACCAAAGCAGAATTGTCCATATCACCGTGTATTGATGAGATTTTGCAGCCCTGGTGCTGCGTACGATCGATGTGTAAATTAATCTAACTGAAGTAGTTGCTGCATACGTTTTTAAGTGTTGTTAAACTTCTTGCTATCTCGCATTCCCTCGGTAGTTCATTCTATAAACGAATCAAACGATAGCGCAACGATTCATTAAAAAAATTGTAGAGCATCTTGGAATAATTAAAACATTTGACCTAGAAGAATTTTAGTTACAAAAGAAGTTTTGAAGAGGTATCGGACTTACGTTTAAAATTTTAAAAGTTTGAATTCAAATTCGAAGTTTCATGTAGTTGACGAAATCGCATCCAAAAATAAATAAGAAAAGATAGAAATGTGATCGTATTTCCGCAGGTCGTACACGTAAATGGTAACGGCATTAAATAACAAATTTAATTTATGTGTATTTGTATTAGAAGTTAAGTTAAGCGCCGTAAAAAATAACGGAACGATCAAGGATCTAGCTAGCTGAAGTCTGCTATGTGGAGACGTGGAGTGATGTAACACAACTAGGGAGTGAAGTGCACACTACACTTTGCTGCACACAGCATTGACTTGAGAATTCCAGTGGAGGTTTAAATCCATTACAATACCAAGATTTTTCATTGTGTCAGAATCACATGAAGCAGACGCAAACTCTTCCAAAATATCGTTACTATTTAGTAATACCTATGAATGAAAAATTTGCAGAAAGTTCATCAGCTTACACAATTTCAATAAACGATGAAGGGGCACAATGTGAAACAAAATAACAATTCAATGAATCTACAGTGACATCACCACCACCAACATTCGTATTTGAGTCTTGTAACCCGAGTCGCTTAATATTGTTCCAAAGTTTTTTAGCAGGAAGAATACCACTAAGTTGGGAAGTAAAGTATTCAAGTTTAGTGTTTTTAACCGTACGGTTAGTTAAGTTACGTAGCTTAACACACAGTAGTATGCTTCTGAACGACTTTTGAACATCCTGTGGATATGTTGGTTGAGCCATGGAATGGAGTTGAAGGGTCTCTTACCAGTTTTCTGGTTAAAGGCGCTTAACGGTTTATGTTTGACAATATTGCAATGTTCAGGTAATCCAATTTGTCATTTACATCGCAATAAGAACAGAGAGCATCCATATTTATTTTTTGTAAATCCCGTATAATAGGTTTCGGGTGTAGATTTTGAGATTTTTTTTTTAATTTAAAGTCCATACATATTAAATTGTGGTCACAAATACTGCTAACAGAATATTGGTAGGTAGTATTCACATTGGATGGATTTCCGGCAAAAAAATCAATAAGAGACGGGGTTCTACCAGGTAGATGGCGTATGGGTGACAAATTCACTATTTTAAAAGAGAGAGTATTCAGTTGGTCTATCATACTAAGACATTTGGAAGAATTTACATCCAAAATATTTACTTTAAAATTACCCATTAACACAACATTAGGCTCAGAGGCCAGTGTTTCTGAGATGAATTCAAAAATCGTTTTCATTTTGTTCAGGTTTTCATCGGGTGGTTTATAAACAATTCCACACATTAAGTTAGCCTTTGTTAACTTAACAATTAAGTATTCGATTTCACTATTAGCTTCAGACTTGGCAAAAACGGAGAACAGGATACTATTTTTAGACGTTGGACTACGTCTTTCATTTCTATATGGGGGTACACTTTGTGAAAACCAAAAACCGAAAATCGAACCTGAATAAAATTATGAAAGATTTTGAACATTAAATACTCAGCTGCCCCTCGACCAATTTCAATAATTTTGCCGAAAAGGTATGTAAAAATTAAGCTTTGATAACAGTTCTACTGAGTCAATTCGATGCGATACTATATCGTTCACAAACGAAACCATTTCAAATTCACGACGCGCTTTCAATGTTTGAATGTTGATGAGCATGCAGCGTGCTTCATAAGATGGAAGAGGAAATCTTGTCCAACCTAATTTACGAAGAGCAAATAGTAAGAATTGCTTTTGCACTGATTCTAATCGTTCCTCTGTTCCTCATGCGTGAATGAAAAAGGTGACCAAACTATGCTGCAATAATCAAGTATTGATCTTACATATTAAATGTACAGTGATTTTATTGTATACGGGTCATGAAAATTGTAACTGAATCGTTTGATAAAGCCAAGCATATTATTTGCTTTGTTGATAATTGTATTATAATGATCAGTGAATGCTAGTTTTGAATCAATTATAACTCCTAAATCCCTAACTCGTTCACACTTTTCTACTGCCTGATTTCCTAATACAATTGTATTTTCTGGTTTGTTTCTTTTTCTACTAATGCTATTGATTTACATTTTTGAACGTTTAGTTGCAGGAGGTTTTTGTTACACCAAACATAGAATAAGTTTATTTCAATATGGTATGTCTGTATATCTTCTTTATTTCTTATTTCTAGAAAGAGCTTCATGTCATCCGCATAGATTAAAACTTTTATGTTTTTAAGAATAAAGGAGATGTCGTTTACAAATAAAATAAACAAAAGACGGCCTAGATGCGAGCCTTGGGGGACTCCAGAAGTAACAGTAATAGGGTTTGATTTTTCAACTTTGAATCTAACTATTTGTTGGCGATTAGTTAAATATGACTCAAGCCATTTGA